AATCATATAGAAAGTGAAATGGATTTAACAGAATGTGTAATGTGTACATATATATTGGTGTTGTAAGAGATTTACAAAATAAACCAAACACAAAACAGACAGATCTTTTCTCAAAATAGATGATTTGTTGTTTGTAAATTATTGAATAATAATTGTCCAATTTTGCAGAGATTTAACCTTGGTCATTGCCTTGATGGTAATCAATTACAATAATTATTTGTATGCATATACTTATATTTTATATATTATGGTGAACTAAAAAATCGTGCAAAACTATAGTGAGGAATGCAATTCTTATGAGCATTCAAAAATACAATTTAAATTTTTTATTTGATAAATGTCACGATTTGTAGAAGTATATAATCGATTTTATTGAAATGGAGATTTTTTTTAATCTATTTAATTTAATTTAATTTCAATATAATTTCATTGTACAAAAATTACTTTTATGGAAAATATTTGCAAAGGTCACATTTATCCAACCTACTCAATTAGCAATCCAGCATCTATGAAAGAATGATTCATTATCATTCTGATTCATTAATATAGAATATAGAATACACCGGAATACATTGATATTAATCACAATTTAATTTTTTATGTAGGTATTTTATACATTTAACGCAAAAACTACAAATTATATCCAGAAATTTTTTCAAGCCCACGAATTTTCTATTATTAAATAATATAGAAAGTTCAATAAAACACACTGGTCGATTGTTGACAGTTGACATTTTATAGTTTCGTGTTGTTACTTTTTATTATCACAAAATTTCCACTGTAATAGCATCCTGAGTACCCAAGCAAGATAATATTTTCGAAAAAATACAGGTTTCGGTGGCAACGTTAAGAAATTTCGTTGGTTAAACATTAACGATGTGAAATTTTCACTATAATTAAATCAACGATAATTTTTGAACGAGTTTTAACGAATTCCAAAATAGAACTCTTATCTGAATTTGATATTAGAATCAAAAAGGTAAAGGGACCGAATTTTATTTTTACCCCCAAATATTTTTAAAGTGTAAATGGCCAAATACTCTTTCATGGGCACACGCATAGGGAAAAGAGTCCAAACATTTTTGGATAGGTAGGCGTAAGAGATAAAGGGTTCAAATATTTTCACATGGACAGGCTTAAAAGGTAAAGGGACCAGATATTTTGATATTCACTCCGTGCGTGACAGCAGCGCCAATTCATTTAGGTACTAATGGACTATTTCTGCGTATACTGACAATACAATTTTTAATAGAATTCATAATTAAAAAATTAGTTTTAATAAAAGTATATGGATTTGTAAAACAAGTAAAACATTAATTTATTATTATTATATATTTTTATCGCTTAAATTAAAAAACATTAAGTATAATTAATAAAAATCAATAATAAAATATAGGTAGGCAACAGTATTTACGGGAAAATGTATGAGAATTTGCCTAAGTCTAATAAGTTGTCTTTGAAGAATTAACCTATTCCAAATAAAAAAATACCATTAATAGCGAGAAGTTAAAATGAAAAAACAGAAGGATTGTTATTTATATTTTTATTTTTGTTTGAAAGAAAACATAGAATGAATGATTAAAACTGGTTTCCTATCAGTAAGTCACAAAATTGCATTCCAGCCACATGCAATAATCAAAGGCATAAATCTTGAAATCCAATCCTTCTTGAATATTTAGGAATAAAGGGATGCAGAAAAACATCCTGGTGTCCAGTATTACTGTTATTATTACAAAAATAAAGGTAATTTTTCATCTTATTGTACACCTATCCATTTATTTCTTTGATTTAATTTCCACTTTGCTACTGAACATTTTTATAATTTTCACTGTTTTTTTTTTGCTAATATTTTTACAATTTTTAACACAGCAACTTCGGTTTCTTATTTTAGTGTTTTTACCTACTTTAAAAAAATAGTAAAATGTATATGTGTATTTGATATGCCAAAATTACAAAATATACCCCTAAAATGCACGAATTATCCACAGCTAGCGCTAGTATCGCTTTTGCTTTCCCTGTCATGACTTCACACTGAGCGGATATGCACTGGCTTAAGGGTTAAAAGGACCAAATCAGGACCAAATATTTTATACATGGACAGGCTTAAGGAGAAAAGAACTCATTTTTTTTACATGGTCAGGCTTAAGGGGAAAAGGGCTCAAATATTTTTACATGGGCAAGCTTAAGGGGAGAAGGGCTCAAATAGTTTTACATGGGCAGTATTAAGTGGTAAAGAAACAAAATATTTTTACATGGACAGAGGCTTAAGGAGTATAATGACCTGATATTTTTCATAAATTGTTCAAACAATTTGTAAACTGTTATCAAAAGACCACATAAAATGAGGAGAAAATATCTAAAGTATACAGGGTGTTCATTTAAAAATTTCCCATTGACAATATCTCCAAATACAAAATATTATCAAAAATTGCTTAGAACAGGTAGATTTTTATTCCAATAAGTCTCTCCTCCATCAGAGTAATCAATATAACTAAAAGAAAGTACAAAGTACCTATGACACAACATTGAAAAAGTAATTTTATAGGGAATTCAGCAATATAACTGTTCATTGTGGTATTTGTAGGTATTGAAAGCTAATTCCATTAGTAATTTAATGCACAATATAACAAAATACAAAATAAATAAATAAATATAAGAATGTCACCAATAATGTTAGGATTAAATCAATTTAACTATAATCGCATTAAACCAAAATAACAAATTTAAGCTATGCAGCAATTACTAATGAAATTAGTTTTTAAATATTTTAATTGACAAGAAAGTCTAAAGAGTAAAAGAGAACACAATAGCAATATATTGTTAGATAACTAAGAGAGAGAGCATACCTTTAAATGGCAAAATATTTGCTGAGAAATTATATTGCATTTTTATTTAGATATGCCTCATTCTCTTCTGCTCTCATAGATCCTTAATTCTGTGGATATGTTATTTCAGAATCTCTATATTCAGTTTATAATTTTTACCACGATATTATAACACTCATCTGACAACTACACACTCTTTCTTACTAGAATTCATTATTTTGTTTACATATCTTTAACATATCTTTTTGTAGTTTTAACACATATTATAGGACAATTTAGGCTTTATTTAGTTTCATAATATACAGGGTGTTCCTAAATGTCATGTCCATAGTGAAAAAGGTAATTTTTTGCCTATTTTATGACCCAAATTTCATATAAACAAAAATGTTCTCTAAATTGCTATTTTTTAAGATAGGTATGTGAGGATTTTACTATTCATGCGTTTTACCTGTCCCTGTATGTTTATTATCTTTTGTTCACTGATTTGTCATATCAAGTTTGGAAAATAAATGTTTTATAACACCAACAAAATATACATTAAGAAGAACATATATTTATTGGGTACTCCCAAAGGGCTATCGACCAGAGTCTTTTGGCCCATATACCTTAATTTTTCTTAAAACCGCGATTCTATATACACACTCAACAACATGGTTTTCAAAAATATCAATTGGGTTGTACTTGTGATGTCAATGGACAATAATTTTAATCTGATTGTTTAAATTATCCTTTTAATACTACAAACAAACCTGATCAAGTTTAAACACACAACTCAAAAAAGTGTATTATTGAAAAACCTTTTTTTTTATTTACAGGCCAAGGAATTACCTCCTTCAATATTGACATGATATTTAGTATATTAATATGTAATGTTTATTCTACTTGTAAATTTTTTGTGATAATAAAACATTAAACAGACTTAAGTGTGTGAATTGGAAACACAGAATGATGAGAACTCAAAACAACAGATATTTCTAAAATACAAACTCAAAAATTTGTTATTTTTTTAGGTTTCTAATTGTTATAATTAGGTACAATATTATTTAAATAATTCATGCACTATTCTTACAAATTCTGGTATTTTTGTACTATTTAAAAATAAGTAGGTACCTACACTTGACGGAGCACTTCCCTGCCATTTTTCATTTTTTTTTTTTTACATAAGGACAACAAAGCAAATAGGATAAACTTTATGTCATAATATTTTTATCAAGATATCTTCTCTTGTTGTACGAGTCATGTACAAGTGTTAAATTAACCATAACTTGCTTTTTCAGTATTCCAATTTTTGGATGATGTCCTAACAATGTTGACAGATACTTTAGATAAGCTGATTCACTAGGATATCCTACAAATTCTTGCAAATGTTTGGAGGAAGACTAGGATAAGTTAGTTTTATCATAATATAAATTTTATAATATAATTAATTTATATACTCACTCAGATTTGTTTAAAAATAAATTATGAAATTAACAATAGCATTTTATTCAGAACAATGATTTTACTTATGTCCTACTGTTGTTCTGTAATGGCCTGAACAGAATTACCAAAAAAATAAAATGACATTCATTTATGTAACAACTGGAAATTAGAATATAATTTACTGCAAAATGTATAATTTTTTTCACTAATTGGCTATTTGGCACTAAGTAACAAAAATGTATCCTTTTAAAAATTCGTTTTTATGCTCTTGTTTTCATTTATTTATTAAAAAAAGAGTAAATTTAAATATAAATACATTCAATGCCTTCTAAAAATCGAAGAAATCCAGCCAAATTTGTTAATAAAGTGAACGGGGCTAGGTCATAGGGACTCTACAGAGTAAAATCTAAAATATGGAAAAAAAATTGAGATATGCCCTTTGGGCTTAGGACAGCAAAATATTTAATTTACAACAGCACAGTGTTCCAAACTTAGTTACATAATTCACTTACTATAATCATAATAATCTGTTATAAAAAAAAACAAAAGTTCACACCAGTTTAATTTTACCAGCCTTTCTCTTCTTTCTATTTTGTTCAACACACTGAAGCTGTATTCAATTACTTACTGTTATTACCATTAAATTAAATTAGCAAATCGTTTTAAAAATGAGAACACTAGGACACTAATGACGATAATTAGCTTATTAACATGCATGCTGAGTGAACAGTTAAATAAATAAAATATTCAAACCTTTGTTGTCCGACATATGTTTTTCCGGAATCCACCATAGATCCACATACTTTTAATATTTTTTCTAGCTTGCTTTCTAGCTGATCTACGCTTGCTTCCTCCGCCTCCAACAATCCTCTGTAATTTAATAAAGATTTTTCATAATGCATTCCATCATTCCAAACAAATATAAACAAACAGTAAAAAACATGAATAGCTTACCTGAATTTTGGAGAATCGCGGAGACACTCTTGTAATTCGATTCTTCCTACCATTTTGCCACTTGTAATTAATCTAAATTACCGTATCATAATCATAACAAACCAAATAATTCCTCTCAAAAGATGCGTTTAAATATTATTAAGTTGAGTCATCAAATATTACCACTTTCTTGTTTTCTAGAGAAATTTAACATACGTCAAATAACAACAGGTTATTTTAATGTTGTGATGTTGGTAGCAGTTTACGTAGTTTCAAATGAAAATTATGTACCAGACCCAGTTAATAATTATTCTATACTGCAACAAAGACCCTCCAGTATTTTTAATAATTATTCAAAATAAAAATAAGTGAACATTTTTTTTATTTAACCTTGTCCTATTTCTAACATTCTAACTAAAGCTAGCGCTATATTATGCATAAGTTGAGAAGTCGATCTTCAGTAGCAGAATGTATCGCGTGTGCATGTAGTCGGTCCGCGCAGGATCTACCCGTTATGACCAATTACTGAATTTGATCTGAGTTGATGAGTTATAAGCACGAAGCACGAGTTGAGTTCCAATTTCCAATGTAGAGCTAATTTGTATATAGCAGAAAATCTGCAGATCATTCTCGGCGACCGAACTTCTGTCTAATGAAGCGCCACAAGATATTTGGTGTGCAGTGCTTCATAATCAAAAATCATTTGGAACTTTCTAATGTTGCAACAAGAGGTCCAGGGATCTTTAACAAACCAATCAGCTATGCACTTGGAACCTACGGTTTTACGTCTCTTCTAAAAAACGACATATGCTCAATAAACCAAGTGCTTATGATACAGAACCGTTAGCTATGAACAGTATTATGCTGCAGTTGCTACATTGTTTACAATGTTTCCCTAGCGATCACCAGAATTGCTAATAAACACTATCTGATATGTACAAATATTTTTTTGTGTTATGGCTTTGATAGTATCTACTAGAGGTGTGTCGTTCGCGAACGATTCGTTCAAAAAGAACGAATCAGTGCACTGACTCGAATGAATTGATTCCCTGTTTTTAAAAGATTCGAATCTTTTTTGAGTCAATTGCTCGATGGCTCTGCGATCGATCAAACACGCCGAGTTCCGAGTTTGGTTGCTTCGTTCATTCGATTCGGATTCGGTATTTGGTATTTTACATCGGCATCGGCAAATTGGTCGCTTTTGTTCTACGTTCTACGACTTCTACGGCATAATACGAGAACTCTAACTGACAGGCGGTGGCGGTATGTGTCTTTAATGTTTTTCTCACTTTACAGGAGGTGTGTATTAAGCTTAGGTAAACAATTTATGCGTGTTTGATAAATAAATTTAAATCAAAGTAAAATTAAAACAAAAAATGACGAATCGTGAATATATAATTTTGCGTTAATTTTGGCTATATATTTGGCATTTAAAAAAAATTGTGTTATTGTTGTTTATCTTAACGGACAAGGATGTATTTATTATTCAGCTGCCTTTTTTTTATGAAATATGAAACATTAATTCGCTTTACTTTAAAATAAATCTGGTTATAATTATTTTACTCAACGACCTAGTAGGTAGGTAGGTAGGTTAGGTAGTACTCAAATTCGTAAAAGTTCGGTTCGATTTCCTTCGCCGGATCGGCGGAATAACATCGTTCGTGGTTCGCTAAAGTGAATCACTTGAGAACGAATCTTGAAGAACGAATCTTTTTAGGTGAATGAATCAAATGAATTAATTCAGTAAAAAGATTCGAACTTCCCACCTCTAGTATCTACCCAATTAGAGAGTCTCAGCTTTGATTTTTAATTTTTATTTATTAATCTGTTCTGTGTAAGCTTTGACACTGTTTCTCAGCGTCACTTTGGGAGCAGCACTGTTAATTAGAGTCCAATACTAGGTCTGTTCTGGTTTTGAGAAATAACGATCCACAACTGTCGGGCTCATGCGCAGTAGATAAAAAGTGTTCTGGTTTTTCTGGGACTACTTCGGATCTCTCAGTCCAGTGTTCTGGTTTCGTATCCGAAATAATCCGTGATTGTTGTAAACAGTCAAAAAGTGTTCATGCTTGGGAGTGTGGATCGACTCGGACTGTTTTGACCGCGCATGCGTTTTTGAAGTGTTATGAATATTGTATTGGCTTTTTAGACCATACGAAACGTATACAATCCCAAATTGTTTATTTATATGTGGACGAATGTCTCTTGTTCTTGTTTTATTTGTAAATTAAAGCAATTTTAGAATTATTAATTTTTTAATATTCTGTTTTTATTTATTCCATTGAAATGTGATGATAATGATAAACATATACATGCAAATATTATTTGAAGCTGAGCTTTCAAAAGGAACTTCATTATTATAATAAACAATAAACAAAACACCTTTATGACGTGTTCTGGTTTTCCAAGAATTTCAAACAGTCGGGGATTTTTTGCCTTTACGCATACGGTCCGGCGCAGTTTCAAAACAGTTTTCATTTTGAGAACCAGAACAAACCTCCTATATGGTGAAATTGGGTAATCCTACCTATGCATCAAAATTAATTTTTAATTGAGAAAATTAAATAGAAAAATCACGGTTTATATTTCGCTAAATTGAAATATTTTGATCGGTGGTGCCAAAAACTATTGGCTTATGTTTTTATTATTTCAAATGGGTTATAAAAACCGACAGACTGGTCAGGATCATGTGATTTTATAAATGCCTAATATTTTCTATAGCTTCGCAGACTATCTTCAGTATCCTTCGAGATGAACAAGGTAAATTTATTATATTAATGTGCTTTCAGAGCCAGATGCTCCCACGTCTGCCACGCACATTTTGTCACTTACAAAGGGATGGAGTTATTTTCATTTGCATTTCAAAATAAAGACCGCCCACGATGCGCTATATCCTATGGGCAGGATGCTATGACGTCACTCACAGAGTGATTTTAATTTGCATGTGAAAATAAGGACCGCCTACAATGCGCAACATCTTTAGATGGGTATATCGTGATGTGCATTTATATTATAATACCATAAAATAAATTAATATTAAAATACCATAAAATAAATTAAATATAAAGTTTTATTATTTTGTTTTGTTGGAACTTACATACAAAAAAGGAAGTAGTTGCTAAGATAATTTACGAAAATGTGTACTTTGTACTATATCCGGAGATGATTGGGTCCTTTTAAAACTAGGTTCTACACAATTAGTCGATGTTGAAGAAGTGACGTTAGATACTTGAAAAAGAGCTAATTTAGCAGAATTATTCTTGGCTATTCGTTCTTTGTACTTATCATCAACGTTTATTCGATAATCTGGTGTAAAATCTCTATCGTGTTTTACGATGGATTGCGATTTTTGCGTTTTAATACTTTTTCGATCAGATTTCTTTTCTTTTGCATGTGGTTTTTCCATTTCCTCTTGTTTTTTCTTCTTCTTTTGTTTCTTTTCTTTTTTCTTCGTCTCATCTACTATTTGAATAGTTGGAACGTCAGATTCCTTTTTCCTTTCATATATTTTTACAGTTTCGTATTGTTCTGTATACGTTTTACTACAACACGGTTTTGGTTCTGTTTCTAATTTTTCTGGCGTTTCATTTTGGATTACATTTCTATAAAAATCTTTAGGATTTCTAAATTCTGGCTGAATTTTGTGGTGAATGTAAGTTAAATGTTCGTTAGTAACACTTTTTGTTTTGTGGAGCTGTATTTTTTCGAGTTTGAAATTCAAATTATCCACTTCAAGTTGAAGGCAGAGATTTTCATACACCAAGCAACTATTTTGTTTGACCAACTGAAAGAAGAATTAATAAATTTGGAAAAAATATTTTGCTGGACAGAATTTTCTTCTGTTTTGTTTTACCTGTAGGTATTTTTTGCTGCTCGGCGATAGTGTATCGTTTAATTTTTCGCTTACAAGATCATTAAGTTCTGCAGTTAAATTTTCAATTTTAGTCATATATTCGTTACTTAACTAAAAAAAAAAATAAGGATATAAGTGTTTGAACTAATAAAAAATTAGACTTTTGGAGCTTTTATTTGAAATCTACAGTTGGTATAGTAAAGTTGTGTAACTACCGCTTTTTACATTACCTAACGTCTATTGCTAGATAGTCACAGCCATAGAAAACTCCAAACGACCCTTTTAGCGTTCGGTTTATTCAAATTAGTGACAGTGTCATTTAAAAGCACTCTAAAAATCTCCGCTCCTGTCGGGTTCAAGCCCCTGTCCAATCCGAACGCTACTAATTAGTATTTTAACATGTCCTACAGAGGTATCCCTGGCACGTGGCATTGAAGTCTCCCTTTTAACTATTTATTGAGCCCAGTACAAATTACACAAACAATACTGCAACGTTGGTTGGACTGTATAAATTATTTTTATTTGCGTGGCAGACAGAAACTGAACAGTATCACAGAACACAGTACTCTCGCAGATCTCCCACTTCATACAAAGGATATAACTGTTTTGCCAGGGGCTAACCGAAGTGAACGCGATACATTGGCGTAAAAAAATATTTTATAGACGCTAATAATAATTTAATGAATTATAAATAGCTGTTGAAATTTTGTAGATGTGATTTGGAATATTATAGTACTTGTTTAAATAAATATTTCTTTCTCACGAATACATATAGGATTGCCCGTTTCCACCGGTAATAATTTAAAACTACGATACGACACTGGCGGACAGACATTATCGCGAAATTTTCAACGTTTATCACTTCGCTCCATCTACCAAAGTACTGTTCAAGTTCTGTCTACGCTCTAATAATGCATAGAATTTAGCTCCCAAATGTGAATAAAAATTTACACTGATAATAACTTAATTTAATTACCTTTTCATGTTCAAGTTTCATTGTTTGTAATTCTGTCTTCAAGCATGTTTTTGTATTTTTCATACGTAAAAACTTGATACTTAAATTATAATTAGCCTCTAGAGTCTGATTTAATGTTTGTTTCAAGTTAGCTATTTCATTTCGATAATCTTCAATAGCTCGTTCACTTTGACCGATAGATGAATCACTTAAAAGTTTTTTTAATTTTTTACATTCGTTCATTTCATGGCAGTATAATTCTTTTTCTTTAAAATAATATTTACGTTCTTCTTCTAATTGTTTTGCTAGAGTTGCATTGGTTCGTCTTGTTCTTAATAAATCTAAAGTAATTTTTTCTTTATCTCTTGCTAAATTTGCTATCGAGACGTCTTTTTGTTCTGATTCACTTTGCAACGCTTGAATAGCAGCTTTTAAGTTAATCATTTGTTCCTTAAGAGCATCTAATTCGGTTTTTAAAAGTAATTCTTGTTCCATTTTGATTTCTAAAACGTCTGACGTAGATTCATGTGAAGAAGAGGTAGATGGTTTTGATAACACTTTCCTGAAATCGGACATTTTCAAGAAAAAATATATCAACTGTGGATTTAAAATTGCATACTTAACTAAATGTTTTGTTCCAGAAAACTTATCTTTAAAAGCCTTTCGCATTAAAATATAAGGAATCAAATCACTTATAAATAATTCAAAACCCTTATCGTTACCTGTCAGTTCATTGACACTATGGTTAAAATTTTGACTTGACACATTATTGAGTGATCCTCGTAGCGATTAGTTAACTATTTACAGAACAGTGATTTTCTTTTCGTTATGTTGGGATTATTGAAATCTATCGATCTACTGTCAAACTTTGGGGTTATGTTTGGATATTGCGATTGTTTAGGAGGTTAATGTTATTTAAAATAAAACCATAATTAAAATGAATAATATTGTGCTGCCCGATGAGACACAAACAGATTCTAGTTCCGACGATGAAACTAGTTTAGTAGTAGTAATATTAGATAGTAATCCAGGACAAAAAATGCTTCGAGATAGTCCTCATGTTTTAACACACTGTGTGGATTCTATAATTGCTTTTGCAAATTCCCATTTGATGCAAAAAGCTCAGAATAAGCTGGCTATAATGGCATGTCATTCAAAAACAAGGTAACCTACTTTATTGCTTAAGGAATTTGGTTGTTCAATTTATTTTTTTAGTCAATTCATATACCCAGGCCAAGGTAAACATACCGATGTTAGACAAGTAGATGGACAGTATGAAGTGTTTACAGCTGTTGAAAAGATAACTAAAAAGAATCTTGCTAAAGTTTTAACTGCAGATAGTTCTACAGTTACAAAAGAGTCTTTGTTAGCTGGTGCTATTGCAATGGCTCTTTGTTATATTTCAAGATTACAGAGAACTAAACCACCTGGAGCTACGGTAATATATTATTTTTTAATTCAGCACATTTGTATTATTTATTTAGTTCTACCCTTTTCTAATTAATACAGTTGATACACAGGATAACTATGTGCTAGAAGAATATTCCACTAGTTGACATTCACATCATATTATTATAATTGTTGTTTTTTTAGTTAAACTGCAGAATATTGGTAGTAACGGGAAGTAGCTGTTCAGCCTCTCAATACATGAATTATATGAATGTATTTTTTACTGCCCAAAAGCAGAATGTTGTTATAGATGTTTGTGCTTTGGACCAACATTTAAGTCTTTTACAACAAGGATGTGATATTACTAATGGTTTATATCTAAAGGTTCCCCAGTTGCAAGGATTATTGCAGTATTTATTGGTATGTAATAAATATTTTTCCAAATTTGTACCCTGTGATGGATGTGATACTATATTAAAAATTAGCAGCTATTGTTATTAGATAAACCCTTTGAGCATATTTCATAGAGTATGCATTAAACAGTGTTTGTTTGGGTTAAGAGGGGAAATGCCTAGACACTATTACCAGTGTTGCATCATTTTTACTAGGTTTGCAATTAATATTAATAAAAAATTTGATACATACCTTCAAAATTCTTTAAATTATGCACATATTTTATAAACTAGCATTATTTAAGTCGGTATCTAGTAATAGTAAATTATTATTATTAATATTATTATTATTTGTGTTGGACACATCAGATTTTTTTTAATTCAAACATCAGAAAGTGTATAACGGAAAAATGAAGGTTGAAATAATAGGCAATAAAAAAGATAAGAATCTTATATTTAAAAATCAAAAATATAAATAAATAGTATACAAATATTTATGATATGGGTTAATATTTTGGGGTTCTTCACCATACTTTGAAAGAGCTTTTGTATCTCAAAAGAAGGTTCTGAGAGCCATGTATAAGGTGACACCAACAACATCATGTAAAGAACTTTTCAAGAAAACACAAATTTTAACACTACCTTCCCTTTTTATTTTTCAACTAATTTTATACATAAAAGATAATGATCATATATTTAAAAAAAATAAAGACCTGCACTCATATGATACTAGATTAAAATTTAACATCCATCAACCTTTTTCACGCCTACAAATAAGCCAGCATTCACCAAAATATATTGGGATTAAGTTCAGTAACATATTAGAAGATACTACAGGTTATCATCAAATTAGTCGTAATGATTTAAGAAAACATCTTAATGATTTTCTTGTAAATAATGTATTTTATAGTATAGAAGATTTTTTGAATTTTTAAACTAATCTTAACATGAATTGTCTATTATATATTTTTTAATGTATTTTACTTAACACTTTTTTGACTAGTCTGATAGGATTTTACATTATGTACCTAGTGTCTTTGTATAGTGTATAATTCTCAAAGATGAATAATTTCTATTTCTAACACACATGAACGAGAATTATAATACAAGAATTTTTTCCAATAATTTATTAAATATAAAAATATTGTTCATAAACAATGTCCAATAGATTACTAAACGATATACTACCAATAGAAATCAAGCTAATACTTAGGTATTTAGGTACATTTGCACTGCTAGCATTAACAAATAAGTGAAGTTTAATTTTTATTGGAAAACTGTCTTAAGCTTCGAATATTTCTTAATGACTAGAAGTGCAAATAAAAGAAGCTTAAACTGACCTTTTTATTGAAAAACCACATTAGGCTTCGCTTATTTCTTAACGACTAGCAGTCTACTTAATTAAAGAACATAGGTACATTTAATAAAAAATAATTATTGTCAATTTTTGTGGTTTATATAGGTAGTAATAGTTAAGTAATTGAAAATAAAATTGATGTATTAAAAAGTACTTAGTTACTTACATGTTTTCTAATCCTGCATTTTCTTTTTCTGCAACAGAGGCTGAAAAATTAAAAATTTTGAACTATTATCCCACAAGAAAAGTGCAGGATTATTTAAAAAGTATAAACTTCTAACTTGTCAATGTTATTTTATCACGTGACCAATAAAGTCTAGAGCGTTTCTTTATTACATCTACATTCAGATCTAATTCTCTATCACATGATAAAAAATTCACACCATCTCCTATGCATTCGATGTGGATATTAAAACGCGGCAAATGTAGGTACTTATGTTTCTTTTAAAAAATGGTAGAGACGCTAATGGTTACTTACTTGTGAAATGACCTTGACCATGCCTTTTCATATTTCTATTTACAACTTACACAAACTCTCACCTTTGTTAAAATTTGTATCACTAAAGTAATAAATTACAAAAAATCACTTGTAAACTACAAAAATAAGCTAGAAATTAATGAAAATCAAATGACAGTTCTGATGGTTTCGAACGATTTGACATGCCAAGCAAAACGGAACAGACCAATGGGAATGCTGGACACTATTTTTCCCCCCTGTACCTAAACAAAGTCCATTTGGACGATGGTTCTAGTAATATATGCCCGAAGGATAAACCTTACTCTTTTGGGTTAGTGCTTCATATTGTATACTTATACAGTGGATCTATATGGGAATTGTTTTTAATATTACAATTGAAAATAAAATTTGCTTATTTAAAAACTCAAAATAGCCCATGTCACAGTTGATTTTTCAAAAAAAATACCGAATTTGACAGATAACTAATGCAGTACCTAGCCAAATTTAGTGTGGGCTATTTTAAGTTTTTTAAAAAGTGAAGGTAAGTGTCATGACTTTTTTTCCAATCGTAATATTAACAAAAATTTTCAAATGGATCCAATTTTATGTAACACACTGTGTGTATTTATTTTGACCTTTATGATGTAAGGTAGCTGTATCATATCAATTGATATTAGTTCATGGATAGGGACCATCCATAAATTACATTTCATGATTTTTGACCTTGTCACAGTTGGCCACATTTGTGATGTCACATATTTTGCAATTTTACATCTATATAGAAATTATTAAGTTAAAAATATTTTTAAGTTTTCCGTTAATAGTTCAAATTTCGTGTTTTAATATTTAGATCTATTAGATTTTGGAATGTGATGTCACGAAATTTAGGACCCCTCCCACCCCTTGTCACACTTCGTCAACCCCCTTCCCCCTTAACATATGACCTAATTTATGGATGGCCCCATATCAATGTTATGATTTTTTTATTTTTTAGTGGGTATTTTTACCAGAACCACCAATTAGAGAAAAATTAGTTTTACCACCACCTCTTAAGGTAGATTATAGAGCTGCCTGTTTTTGTCACAGACAGTTGATTGAAATTGGATATGTCTGTTCAGTATGTCTGTCAAGTAAGTTTTTTTTGTTTTTTAAGCATTATTTTTTATTATAGGTCTATAATGTTGGTACCTCACCTTAATTTTATACTGAAAAATACCTTTAAATATTTAGTTTTATTGTATTTTCTTTCCAACCAAATGAGGTCAAACTAAGAAGACTTTTGAATTTAATATTTTTTTTTATTTTTTAGTTTTCTGCAGATTCAGTCCTATCTGCACTACATGTCAGTAAGTATATATTTTTTTTTGTAAAAATTGCAGTTCTTATCAGTTTTTTTTTTTTTTCATTATTTTCAGTACTGTTTTCAAGATGCCTGCTCTTCCTGCTGTCAAACCAAAGAAAAAGAAGAAAATATAATAATAGGATTAGTAAATTGTTGTAATTTTTATAAAATTATTAAAAAAAAAAATAAAAATATTTTTCATAAGTATTGAAATTCTTCAAAATAGGGACAAGGTTACAAATACTATTTTGTAGAGATTGTTTTTTTTTATTTGATTTTTAAAAAATTATCTTACATACGAAAATTTACATAAGTTGTGTATAATGTTTTCAATACTAATTTTCCTAATGTTGATACTCGTCAATTTAATGTAAATTGATTGTAACTATTTTTTATAGACTTACCTCGCTTCTGATTGAAGGTGTAACTTTTTAAACAAAAACTTTTGAGTTTTTATTCATAAATTCACCCAGAAAGGCTATAAAATAGTGTAAAAAATTACAGGATACATTTATTAGTCCTTAAAATTGTAAGTATAACTCCTGTCAAATGTTGAGGTAAATCCTTTCTTTTGAGTTATGCATAAAAAAGGAATGTCGCTAAGAAACCAATCATAGAATTAGCATATTCGAGTAATAGTAATAGATGAAATGAATCTAAGTGATAAATAAATATGTCATGTTTAGGTAAAAAACATAAAATTTATGAACTCACTACATTACTGTCGTTTGTCAATGATATCCATTATAATTTAATTAGTAGTTAAAATAGACCAGAGTCAGGAAAATTAATATGAAACAAAAACTTGAAATCTCTTATATGATTGCACCACATTTACATCAGTCGCACTATCATACTTTCAACGTCGGTCTATTTAAATAAGCTCTACTCTAGAGAAAAATTTTCTGCCACAATAAATATAAAAAATAAGGTACAGTAAATTAATGTACAATAAATATAATTGTTATTTTTTTACATATAGTATTTTAAATTATCTTGATTTATCAGCAGTATGTAAGACTTTGGCTAATAAAAATCCTAGGGCAGTGACGGCGGCCAGACTGATTCCTGCTTTCCACCAAACTGGGGTGCCTGTTGCTAACACTCCAAATTCGCGGAAATTCCTGCAGATATAAAAGAAAAACGTCACTATTGCTATAAAATATTACTTTTTTATTGTATACAAAAAGCACATGCATATTGTTCAAAATGTACAAGCCAGCTCAAGTAATTTTAAAAATATCTTTCAAATTCCCAGGATTGAAAAAAAAACGTAATTAAAAATATTTGCAGGAGAATTACAACTCCCCGCAAGTCTCTAATTGTGAAGTTGATTTTAAATTGACCACCCTATTCGCCATATTTAACCCCTTTAGATTTTCATTTATTTATATTTTTAAGGAAAAAAGAATTGGAATAGAAAATGTTTTCCATCAATGAAAGAGTAATATGTTGTCGTTTTATTAGTTTATTCAATGCTAATTTACAATTTACTTCAATACAGTAATAAGTAAATTTGATGGAAGTGGGGAATCTATTGGATTTTTCTGGATCAGACCGAGCCCAAGTTCCGTCAATTTTTTTAATTGGAGATTTGGCTACTGTTGGTTTTTTGAATTTTTGTGTGGCTTTCCAAAGGGAGTGGTCGTCAAGAGATAGGTAGGTAACAAATGTTCAAACGATTCGTTTTTGGCAGTTTGGATAGCACAGCGAAGTCTGCGTGTGAGTCTGTTTAGATTTGTTTTATCTAATGGATTTCTTGTTGTTTGCCATTTATGACGGTCTCTTCTTCTATCTTCCACTAGTGTTCTAATGTGGTAAGGTATACTGCATCTTTCTTCAATTATTTTTTCATTTACAGGAGTAGCTTCCCAAGCGGCGCTTTGAATTTGTTCTGTTAGGTATTTTACAGCTTCTTCAATGTCATTTTTGTCTTTGAGTCGTATGTATAGAGATATTTTTTCATTGATTTTATCATGAAACTGATTCCAATTTGTGTTTCTGGAGCAGAGCCTTGGTGCAGGTGTTTTCCAAATTAGACTAGTACTTAAGGTTATTATGATAGGACTGTGATCCGAGTGTAAATCGAAAATGGGGGTGATGTTGCTGTGTATTTCAGATATACCTTTAGTTATGGCGAAGTCTAGTAAGTCAGGAATTTTATTGTTATCGGCAGGACAGTATGTGGGGGTATAAGTATTTTTGGTTGTTTTCTTGAATGAGTTTTAGTAGAGTTGTGCCTTTTGGGGTTATGAGTCTTGCTCCCCAGGTTGTGTTTGGCGTTCCAGTCGCCTGCTACTAGGAAATGAGATCCAAGTTGTCCAAAGAACTCTCTGTATTCCTCAAGATTGATGGAGTAGCGGGCTGTAGATTGAAGTATTGTTAATGGACTAGTGAGCACATTCACTTTTATAATAGTGCTCTGAATTTTGTTGGTAATATATTGTGGAAGTTCATAGTGTTTTATAGCTGTTCAAATATAGCTGAGCCAGTATGGGCTGTTCCATCCGGATGTTAGCGTAGTAAACAAAGTAATATGGGATTTTAATGAAAGACCTCTCGGTTGTGTGACTCTCAGAGATATGTCTATTTTGTTTAGTTTTAAAAATAGTGTGATTTCTTGCACATGGGTTAAGTAATTAAAATAAAACTTTCTATGTTAGGGTAAGAATTTACCAATATAATCTCATAGTATACTTTATTATGGAAGTTTTGTATAGCTAAGATGATTTTTTTAGGGTAGACGTTCAGTCCATAATTATGAGTTTGTGCCCAGTTTGATTGACAAAATTATAATCTAGCATGCAAGGTCTTGAAAATCGATTAATTTGTATAAAATTAGATGTTTTTGCATATGATCTTATCTCAGGAGATTTCAGAAATTCTGACAATTATGTATTGACTTCGATTTTTGCTTAATAAAAGTGACTTTTACATTTTGAACAGCACATTAAAAACATCAAGCGGCCAGTAAACACTAAACTACTACACTCTAATTTTTTTAAATTATTAAGTATCTTATTGGTAGGTTGAATCTGAAAATAATAGGCAGTAAAGGAATGCCAGGAATGTGTGAAGTATGCTGTGTTGCCAAACGCAATATCTGAAAGATGAATTTTTTCATCATACAAACTATCAAATAATGTTTAAAATGCATAACTGTTGGCTCAATAACAAATAAAGGCATTTTTTATACATCCCATTATTGCCTATTATTTACAAAGTCAACAAAATTACTTTAATTTTAAAAACATTGGATCAGATCTTAAAATTAATCCCATTACATATATACATAATATTCTTTGACTCTCAATTAAAACTAACTAGGTATAACAATAAAAAATTAATAGCTAATCCTAACTGAGAGTAATATATACAATAACGAATAAATTTAATAAATCATTCAATTTAAAATATCTAAATTTGGTTCAAGGTTAATAGACAATATACAAGGTGTTAGTAAAGGTTGCCAATTGTTAATTCTATTATTGTTTGTACGAAAAATATAAAGATATTGTTAGTCAAAACATTCCTAAAACTGAAACGATAGCAACCTGCAAAAATGATCTAACCACTCTGTTGGTTGGGGGCGCACAAGTAACGCATGTACCATGCGACGCAAGGGACTGCAAAATAAAAATAAACAATGCTATATAACTTCTACTTAAGAAATTATATTACAATAAAATCTTTAAATGATATTTATTCACTGCTTTCAGAATTGTAAGAATAATTATCACTTAATCCATTTCGAGCTACTAGATTTCCTATATAAAATAATAATAATAATAATAATTAAGGACAGTTAAATGCTTGAAACATTGATTTTTAGATTTAAAAACTTTAGTGGAACTGGTCGTTTTTCTTAAATGTATTTTTCAATTGAGTAAAGACAAACTCTAAACAAATATAATATTGAAATTATTTATGAGTTACAACTAGTTTCGGTTATGTAGTTATCATCAAGCCTATAATACACAAGTATTAAAAGTAATTTTAAAAAACCGACTTCAATCGTGCAGATGCCGTCACCACATCTTAACCAAATTTGTATAGGACCACCCCTGAGGTATCCTCTTACTAACAAAAAAAGAATCATAGAAATCGGACAAGGTGGTAAAAAATTATCACTAAACATACATAAAAAATGAAGAGTTTGAGGATTTTCTAATGGATCCAATTATTAGATTTTGACCAAATTTATGTGGGACCATCCCTGAGGTACCCCCTTTCTAACAAAAAAAGAATCATTGAAATCGGATACTGTGTTAAAGAATTATCGCTGAACATACATAAAAGAAAATATTACGATGAATTGAGATCCTCCTTTTTTTGAAGTCTGTTAAAAATAAATTAAGCTATAACAGGTTAACATTTGAACAATAAAGGTACTTACAATACTGATATAATTAAAAACTAGCATATAACACTAGACTAACGAAGTTGAAGCACAACTATTGGAGATTTCTCTCTATTCAATAGCTCTGCGTTTCTATACCGTTCTCTTGGAGTCAGGAATGAAAAGTTAACATATTGTATATAAAGAGAAGGGTGGTATTGACTGAAATACATTGAGAGAAAGTGCATTTCCTGGGGAATTCAGTCAAAATGGTTGGCCAAATTTTAGAAAACTCTGATCATAGTCGAGCTTTCGGAAATGTTTATTTCCATGATCATATATGACGTCGGGTGCAGTGGCGACTAGTGACCAAAATATTGGGGATTCATGACAGATTATAGATAACAGTACAGATTTAGGTAAAAAACTTTCAGTGTTTATAATATACCTTTGTAACATCAATATTAATTTTTAAGAAGGCTAGATTTGTAAAGTATGAATTTCACTAGCCAATCAATATGGTTATCGGTTATAAGAAATTTAAAAACAAAGTTGAAACCACAAGCCAATCACAGTTCTCATTCTAAATTTTTTTTGTCAGGTACGAATGCAATATTAAGGGAGGAGGCCTGGGGATTATACTTATTTATTTACGAGCAAACCCATGTCTGATAAAGTTGTGCAGAACACTGTCTATTTTCCTACTATATATTATATAGTGTAGAGACCAAACGAAAGTGCAATAGTCAAGGTGAGGTTTGACTAGTAAACAATAAAAAACTTTAATTGCAGTTGTGTCAGTAAAATCATGGGTCAACCTTTTGATAAAACCCAACATTTTCATGAATTTGTGAACAGCAGCAGATATAATAATGATCTTTATTTAATATAGGAAGTCCTAATACATAGTAGTTTTTTTAAAAATATTACATATTATCGTCAGTCTGCACAAATTCAGTTGAATAAATAAAATAAAATTCTTGATGTATTAGTAATAAAATCAGTAATAAAAGTAAGACGTTTAGTACTAAAGTTAAAATAAAATACATTTTAAAGTAAACATACAAAGTTAATTTGGTTAATTTAATTTACACTGGAAATAAATTGTATTAAACATTTTTTAAACTGAGGTAGAGAGGTACTCGTTTTAATTTCACTAGGCAAAGCAGTAAATTCAGTAATCCACATATAAAAATAGATTTTGTTGCTATAGCTAGTCTTGTTTGTGGAATATAAAAATTATTAACAGATCGTGTATTGTAGTTATGTATTTCATTATTGTAGATGATAAAATCATTGAAGTACTCAGGAAGTTTTTAATTTTTTGCTTTATAAACAAAAGTCATTGCTAAATAATAAAATCTTTGTCTGACTGAAATCCAACTTAAAGTGGTCAGCATACCATTTATTGGTGTGTATCTGTTACATCGAAGGATTATTCTCATTCCTTTATTTTGCAATTTTTGTAGTCTTTGTAAACAGCTATTATCCAATTTATAAAGTAACGATCCGCAGTAATCAAAATGAGGTTGTATTACACTGTTAATCTAGAAAAAAAGGGAGAGATTTGAAGCAATCCTTGATATTTTTTTGCATACATATTCGCAGTAAGGTTTCAATAATAGATTTTCATCTAAAATAAATCCCAAGTATTTAAATTCATTAACCCATGTTGATTAAAACTTAAAATGGCCTCTCAAAAGCCTTGGAAAAGTCAGTATAGACAGAATCGATTTGTAAACCTTTTTCCAAGAAGTCGATATAAGTGACTAAATTTAACTCTGTTGATTTTCCAGCACAAAAACTATATTGTTTTTCAGTTATGGTGTCGGGGCAGTCATAAGTAAGGTAATCAGTTATAGTGTTTACAAACAATTTTGGTATTGTGCTGAGAATTGAGATGGGTCGATAATTTTTGATGTAAAATTTGTATATTGGGATGACATAAGGTTTCCAATAATCGGGAAACTCTCCTGTTGATTAATTTATTGAAAATATGAAAGAGAAGGCGAGACAGTATGAAGCTGCAATTCCTTAGTAGGATGGGAGGAATAATATCGCGACCTGGCCCTTTTTTTGTATCAATATAATTTATTAATTAAGATACTTTTGTACATTTTTGCATCGTTAAATACACCTTACATAACTTTACTACAATAGCTGTTCTACACTTTCATTAGTATAGACGTTACACCCTATAGTTTTTAATTATATCAGTATTGTAAATACTTTTATTATTCAAATAGTAACCTGTTACAACTTAGTTTTCATTATATTACAGGCCTGATGATGGCTTAATAGCTTAAATAATTTCAATAAATTGTATTGTAGTATTAATTGAAAATTTTTCTGATACTGAATAAAGTAAAGTAGATGCCAAATAGCTGGAGCCATCTTGAGGTATACATTTTGATTTCGGTGACGCTGCTGGAATTAAATTATGTAAATAAATTTTGACTCAAGAATCGACAGTTTCGTTTTTAATTAAGTTTCTGAAAATAATTCTACATCTACTGGTTATATCTGTGAAGATTTGAAATACCAGAGTGCACTGCGATTTAGCCCAAATATAGCCTACTAATGTCCCATCACAAACTAAAAATATAGCCAATAGTACTTTACAAAGGAAGTCAGGGTATCTGCTTTCTTTTGTATTAACTTCTTGCACCTTAATTTATAGTTTTTTATGGTAAGTTCTTGGGTTTTTAGGTGCCTGTAGGTATCAGATGGTTTTTAAATGAAATTCATATGGAGCTTTCAGTACTAATCAGCGTCTTCTTCAGTATGTTGTTTATTACATTATATTATTATTTTTTCCCTTTATTGTTATATTTGTTTCTTAGTTTCTAATTTAACATCTGTTTTAAATTTCTTTTTTTATTACAAATTAAGTTATTATGTTGCCTTGAATGTCTTTTACGATTTATTCTTATTTTATTTATACAGGGTGGCTCACGCTCAACGGGACGGAGCTTTATGGGAAAACGACCAAAGATATAACAAATTCGTTTGGGAGGAATACGTAGGTTACAGACGACTACAATTTAAAATTTGTTAGATGTATACAGGATGTCCCACATAAGAGAAAATATACAAAGTTATATTATTTTTATTGGAACACCCTGTTTTTTTAGAATTAAAAACTACATCAAAAATAATGTCAGTTAACTAAAGGTTCCCTATTACGATTATTATTAGTTTTCGATTTATTTGAATTTTTAAGGAAAAAAACTCTCCCAGAAATTAATTGTTTACTCTTGTTTGAATAATTTTTAATGAACTAATTTTTTTTTCATTTATGTGGGACATCCTGTATACATCTAACAAATTTTAAATTGTAGCCGTCTGTAACCTACGTATTCCTCCCAAACGAATTTTTTATATCTTTGGTCGTTTTCCCATAAAGCTCCGTCCCGTTGATCGTGAGCCACCCTGTATAATTATTTTATATTATTAGTTTTTTTTTCGCTTACGGTCCCTCATGGAGGTCCAGAACAAGACTTTTTTGGTTTTTTACAAAAGAATTAGTTTTTAGTACTTATTACCATGCACTTTTTCGTAGGAATTCATTCCAAATAAAACCGACCTGGCAAACGTATATAAACACCATACTGAAGAAGGCACTGATCAGTGCTGGAAACTCTAACATATGAATTTCATTTAAAAACCATCCGAATACATACAGACATCTAAAAACCCAATAACTTACCACAAAAAAATATACCCTGTCACCATTCATCCTCTTATTTGTACAATCTACTTCAGAAGTCATGTTTAATTTAGGTAGTATACCTAATAGAAATAAATATGTTAACAAACCTGTGTTTATAGAATAAAATCCAAGCTGCTTGAAAACGACTAAGAAAAAATATAACATTAGATTTGTTTGTTGATGAAATAATGGATTTTTTTCTGTAACATTCTGGTATTTAGAATATATACATTTTATTTATTAAAAAATAAACAAACCTACAAACGTTTGTAAAGCTTATTTAGATACAATTTTGACATTTTTGAATGTATATTAATAACCCAGTGCCAAAAACTCTGTAAAATTTGCTGTAATACTGTAATACAGAATAAAACCAAAAGTGGTTTCCTCTTACCAAACTTTTAGGCCTCAACATATATTTCATCGAATAAGTTGGTTCAATTTTAATCTTCTCTCAAGGTAATGAATCTAAAATCTGATTAGTTGAGTGATAAAACAAGTTTATTAAAAAAAAATATTGTGGGTAAAAAAATTAGTCATATTCAAATAAATTAATTTTGTAAATAGACAAATTTATTGCATAATTATTACAAAAAATCCACAGAGTTGTGATACCAATTAGTTTAATAATTTTATTTAGCAAATAAACCTCTCGATACTTACGGGAAAGCAGCCATAGTTGCTAATTTAATGAAAACATCCTTCCTGTTATGACCTTTGGCAGAGAATTTCTGCGGGGGTAGAATTTTGTACTTTTGGCAAAAACTGGCTGGCTGTAATAAGTAATCTTGCTTCACTTCGTCCAAATCGTCTTTACATGACACAATCAGCACTGGTATTTTACTCTCGGCAAAATATTTCTACAAAGAAAAAAATTACAAAGTTACAAAAACTGCAAAATTGTGGTATGAGGATTATATTGAGGTGTAGCAAATATATCTATATCTACCATGCATAGATCACTTCAATGGATTTCGGTTTATCAGAGATCATACTATTTGACTATGGTGTTTGTATATAAAATATTAAATGGTTTGGCCCCACCTTATTTTCGAGAATATATTAATTTTAACAATCATATTCATAACTACTCTACCAGAAATAACAGTAACTTGCACATAGAACAAATAAACGAACATCGATGAATTCCTTATTTTTTAAATGCTCTTTGACCATTACAATAAATTGCCATTTGGTATTAAAGCTAGTTCGTCAGTAACTGTTTTTAAAAAGAAACTGATAAGACATGTTCATGATTGATGAAATTAGTGTAAAGTAGATTAAATGTGCAAATCTCTTTTAAAAATTTTTATTTCATTGTATTAATATGTATATTTTGGATTTTAGACTTTTGTATTTGGAAATTTTATATTTATTTTTTTTTTATATTTTGGACTTTAATTGTTTTTCTGTTTTGTTCAGTCATAAATTGTAATTTTTGTTTTCCTGATTTTTGTATTTTGAATTTGAGTTGTTTTGTAAAAAAAAAAAATTGTATATTAGGATTACCTATTTCAATAAATATATTTTCATCACCATTAGATACTTGATATTGTCAGAGGCGAAAACAGAGAAAAATGTGGGATCGTCGACATAGAAAAGACAACACTGGGTTGCAAGAACTGAACTCTTTCAATAGCCAGTGATCCCATAACTGTATTAAACTGTGCATATTTTGAAATTCATGTGATTCAGCAACATATCACATTCTCAAAGCCTGGCAAAGTTTTTTGGGTCTATACATTTTAATCAGCTAAGATAATGTTATTCACTACATCATTTATGAACATACATGAACTTGGAGGTATCTACTCCCTAGCCTACTCCTGATGAGACTACTATTTCTAGATAATTTTGAAACCAAACTAAAGTAGCCACCAAATGTTTATTGACAAATGATTTCACTTTTATGAATGTACTGAAAGCATTGTATGTCACAAAAATCTAATTATACAAAAAAAAAACATAATTTCATCATTTCTTTTTCTGATTTCCATGATCAATCAAAATTCCTTGATATTCCAGAAAGTGGTCACTTTAATTTTATAATCTATTCAAATCTTACTTACAATGTAAATCCTAGCAATATATTCAAAAGACGTGGGATTACTCTGGTCATAAATCAAGCAGGCTACATCACATTGAACTTCACTAGGTAAAAGAGGATCAGATATATTTCTTCCCTTTATATCCTTAAGAACCATTATTTTTTCTTGTCCATACACTTGAATGACATTTACTGTACAGTTCGGTGTTCCTGATTTATCAGGCTGAAGTTTATTTGACTAAAAATATAATAAATTGCAATTTTTTTTAAATTATATATAAACATTATCAAATTTAATCACCACTTAGAAGAAAAATTATTATTTTTGTTAAAAAATGGACTTACATCCAAAATTGGTTTAATGAAATTTCTACAAAATGTTGATTTTCCAGAACTTGATGGGCCAATCACATGGCACTGGTACACATTTCTACTGGATTGTTTTTTAGCTAAATCAGTTTTTTTATCTCTTGTAACTGAAATATAAAATTACAAAGTCAAAATTGTATTATTTCAAATAAAAGTTTATATTTGCAGACCAAAAATCTTTTAAGAATAAATATGACTAACTTTAGTACAACAAAAAAAATATCTTATTATATAAGTAAAATTATAAAAATCCTTTAAATATTATTGAAAGTTAAAACGCCATATGTAATACCTTGTACGGCAGTAACTTGATTCTCATTTTCGTAAATATTGTACCCTAAGTAAGCTAAATATTCAAAAGTTCTTGGCAAATCTGTCAGAGTCATCAACGCCCATTGGCACATGTATCCTTGATAGGTTATCCATCCCTTTTCGTTTGTAGGTACCATAGTACTGACGTCAGGACCCCAGGCGGGTGTAGGACAAGTCGAAAACAATTCCTCGTATTCTTGCGGCGATAGACATTTGTCTCTATCTTTGTCGTACCTTTCAAATAAATGGGTCAGGAACTGTTGCCCTTTGTATGAAAGTTCTGTGGTACATCCTGATAGAACTTTAAGACTATAAAATGATATTAACAGTATGTTAAAGAAAAAAAGTACATTTTTAAATATGCCTTACCTGGGAAATAAATAATCTTTAGACATATTCAAATTATCATTGTAACCAAATTTTCTAAGTACAGTCCAAGTAGTTTCGTTTCTACCCCTCTGTACAAATAGACTGTGTAAATATAAGAAACCCTTCAAAGTAACGCAGTTCTGACATACTCCATCTTCCATATTTTTGCGTAAAACAGCTTTAACGTCGTCTAAAACTTGAGGTTGCAAGGGAGCATTGAAGCAACGACTTTGGAAGTTATTTAGTTCAATATCATTGAGAAGACCGTCACAGTCTATATCACATATTTTGAAAATACGTATTAGCGCATTTTTGCATGCATCTGACAGCTAAAAAAAAAATATTGAGTCATGTTCTGGCTTTGTTAAATTTAAGAGAGATTTTTAGTATGTTGGTGGCATGTAGAAAATATTTTCATAGATAATATCAAAATTAATAATAGTATTGTTTTGTTACATAATAAAGAACAATTTCAAAATAAATCAAAGTATACCATAAACATGATTTTTCTTATTATAGTGTAGGTATGTTCTTTTAAATGGTATATCATAAAAATAATTAATTACATGTTAATTAGTTGATTTAAGATTAGATAAAAGTATACTTACATCAGCCTTCTCTACAGAATATATTGGTGCTGTGGGATGCAGAACGGCTTTCTGTGCATAATAAAACATTTCAGAAATGTTTTTTAATGTTTTAGCAGAACATTCTATACATGTTTCAATTTCTGAAAACTCTTCCATTATTCCAAAAATACCCTAAAAAATTATAATCAAATTAGGGAATATTTTAATAAGTATTTTCTTTTTAAATCACTCAACTATGTTTATCCAAAAATGACCTTATTTTCCAATTCAGCTATAGAGATGGGAAGTAAGTAGCAAAACTAGGCAGGCTATTAATAACCTTACTCAATACTCAATATTTTTGACTTGCAGTAATTCATAAAATTGCATTAGATGTGGCTTTTTTACATAATAATAGATTACCTGAGCAATTTAGGAGTAACTTTAATATCTGATAAATAGATATTTTATCTAAATGTTGTCCCTGCTTTATTATATTGTTTTGTTATTTATACATGCATACTTTCATTATATAATTTTTAACTGTATTGTATTCAATTTATTTTTGAACAAAACGAAGTTAATAGTTTTTATTTTTCAGAGATAAAATTTACTTGTATTTAAATTTTATCAGTATTTTTAAATACCAAGGTGTCCTATCAAAATTACTATCTATGTCAATCATTAGACAAGTATCACATATTATAAATAAAAATATTAGGTCTATGATAAAAGGCAAAATGTCTGTAATTGATTTGTATCTAAATAAAGAAATATACTATTTTGCATAATTTGAGTCTATTACTATTATCAAAACATAAATTTAATTCCTGACTTAAAATTAAAAGATTAGAGGGCTGCTAACATTTCTATATGCATAAATACCTAGAAATTCTTCTGTCAAATCAAAAATTTCGAATTCTAGAAATGATTTTATGCAAATTTAAGCAAAATCAACCTGTAGAAAAAATGTTGCCTAAAGAATCTAGATGTATTATCCCTAATAAGTTCCCTCTTATGCAAGGAAACACTAAAATTGCAGTTACCCCAATGCTTCATTATGCCCATTGTGCATCCTCCAGTAGCATTTAAAGTTATAGTCTTTTTGACAATATACTCATATTATGTATGTAATGATTTTTTTTTATTTATTGAACAACGTACGGGAAATCCCAATATCAATCAAAAATATACAAAAATCATTTAAAAGATAACATACATTAATTTTAAAAACAAACACTCAGGTCAGTCACATGACAAGTATTAGGTAATATAATTTATGTAAGTAATATAAATTATGTAGAAAATTTATTGAAATAAAAATTAGTATCAAAAAAAAGTGTACAAATTGGTATTATAATATGAGGTGAACTTGATCTAATTTGTGTAAAACTGGTTGCTGAGGTCACCTACTTCTCTAATACCTACATGTACCCTTTTTGTGAATATGTAGTAGTATACATGCCTACATGTATACAAAACACTTACATCAATTGTGGAATATTCAACAAGATCTATTTTGTTTCCCACAAGGACGACAGGACATGACGAATCCGGATGGTTTTGTCTGATGAGAGGCATCCAATATGAAGTTATCCTATCAATGCAATCATCATCATCTACAGCATATACGACGCAAACGACACTAGCTTTTCTAATTTGTTCATTCAGGTCAGATTCTGTTTGCTCAGCGAGAGAAAAGTCCACAATATTTGTGGGCACCTTAAAAAAAAATTAGTATATTATGGCACAAGAGATTCTGCCAGGAAATTCTTACAAAATAAATTGCTGTATTATGTGTAGCAGGTTCATTACTATGTATTATTTGCCAGATGTGTGTGATATAATTTTAAGTTGTAGTTCTGTGACATCTCCAGGGCATCTTCTAAGAATAGTTTGTCTGATTTTTTATTTTTATTGCAAATTGTCAATATTTGTGTCAGGTACCCCTGTTTATGACTGATCGACCTAACATGTTGCATATTTGTTTGAATCGACACATAAAAACTGTCAAAAATGCTTAGAAGAAAACATTGTAAAAGAAACTGCCTTTGAATTTGAATAATAATAATAATAATAAAATAACCTAAAATCTCTCTATTTCATTTAATAAGTAGGTAAATACAAATTATTGTATGCATTACATTGAAGTTTTCATCTGATTTTATTTTATAAAAGTGAAATATATTGTTTAATTTCTACACAAGAGTTAAATTAGAAAAAAAATGAGATGTAAACATTTTTTTGAAAATAATTTTAAAAAATCAGGCATTTAGTACTCATGGGTCAAGCAGACCCATCTCGACTAACAATGTTTCATAAGCATACATGCCTGATGAAGGGTTAAGTTTTGTGCAATTTCTAGGAATAAAAATTGTATGTTGTTCAAACAGAGGGTCTCCATGAGCTATCATCAAAAAATTTAACAATTCAGAGGAACCTAATCATCAAAAACATATATTGGAAAGCAAGAAAAAATTATTCTAGTAAGTTAATTCTTAAGTATTTTATTGATGATCATTATTAGTTTCACAGAAAACAAACACTAAATGGGGTTTACTCAATTCTCACCTGCTCTGGAGTAACATCTGCAGGTATGGTGATTTCTTCAGCTTTATGAGGCACATTTTCAGGGAACTCCTCACTAACCAGCGATAATATTAACGAAGTTTTACCGACACCACTATCTCCTACTAGTAAAATACGTACAGTACGTTTTGGGGTAGTTTTCACTACCATTTTCTCGGGAATGGGTCTGGAAAACATTTTAGGTTAAGTAAAGTATCTGTTATCTATAACGTAAATACAAAGGCAGTGATAAATAACATCATTGACAGTTTACACTCGGACTTCAGATAAAAATAAATATTACGTGAGAACAAATTAAACACTAGGTGCTAAAAGAAAAATTGAAAATGGTGTCTACCTACCTGTTTTAATTAAGAATTGAAAAGAAAGTTTCCCAAGGAAATAATACCGTTAGCTTCACTATTGTTATTTGATGCATCGCATTATGATTAAAACTACATCTGCCAAAATCACTACTTTTTTACTTATTCCTTTAATTTCACGATTTTTTTAAAGTGTCAAAAATTAACGCGTGCGTGCAAATTATTTACACGTGACGTTTGACGCATTTCATTTTCATTCAAAAATCGCCCAAAATTCTATAAAATTTGAAAGGTACACGAGCATGATGAAAATTGGAAATAATCAGTTTAAATACCCCCAACTTAGAATACTTCGATATGGGTCTCTCTCTACAGTGGGCTCCCGCGCAGATTAATAATAATATCGATTCCAAAAATAGAAAACTTAAAATAGGTAGGTACTGGGAAATAGAGATAGGTAAACAGAATAATGTTTGTAAAAATCAAATTTTATTTAAGCCATTCTAATTTGAACTATAAAAAAATGTTTGCAAACATTTTTATCACTTTTAAATATATTAAATAATACATGATATAATCACAATTTACAATTAATTCCAATATTTTCTGTATTCATCAAAACAATCTCGTTTTATATAGTGTGGTTACAAATGAATAAATTTCGTAAATCAAAGCAATTATATAAATCAAAGTAATAAATTAATATTTGTACACATATTTCAAAATAACCTCCTTTTTATTGCCAACATTGACATTTGACAGTACTATACGTTCGACGATGCTAATCGAGTTTTGTTGAATATTAAAATATAGAATATTCATATTTAATGAAGTTTAAATCTAAACTAAATAATCTCATAATTAAAATTAATCAACTGCTTTAAAACCTTAACATTTATAAAACCTTTTTAAACTACATACCGAAAGTTAGAATAGTGAGACTTGTTCTGCCAAACGAACAAACATTGTACATTTGAACTAATTCATTTTATTTTGAAAGTAAAGCACTTTTATTAATATTTCATGTTAATTTTGGGTTTTAAAATCAATTACAGACAATTATACTTGACAATTTTAGCTTGAAGATTTCTCAGTATTTAAATAATCGTTTTGAAAATTTTGACTTTGACAGATTTCGCCGCTCTAGCGGAACATTTTTGTATTAGTCCTTTTTTAGTCGTGTTTACGAAAGGTGAATGGTTCATCGGTAAACTCGAAATAAATCCTAGGTAATTTAAATTTATAGAAATCATCCATTACCTAAATTATACTTATTTTATAAAGCGATGTCCGTACTTTCTAAATTACCAAATATTAATTCAAGAACTTTTGTAAATATTGAGAAATATTGTTTACAAGATGAGTGATGTTCCTGTGGTTTGAAAAGTGGATATTTTTATTAAATGTTTAATTATTCAGGATAGTGTGTTAATAATAACTTTAAAAGAATATTATTTTACTAATGGTATTAACTATATACTGTAATAATTGATAAGTTTTAATTTGGTAAAGCCTTAACCTAACTTTTGTACTAGTGTATTTAACATGTTTAATTAATTTACTATTTTTATTTTAGCCATGGTGCGTATGAACGTTTTGAGCGATGCTCTTAAATCTATAAACAATGCAGAAAAACGTGGTAAAAGACAAGTACTCATTCGTCCCTCGTCAAAGGTGGTAGTTAAGTTTTTAACAGTAATGATGAAGCATGGATACATTGGTGAATTTGAAATTGTGGATGATCACAGGAGTGGAAAGATTGTAGTAAATTTGACTGGAAGGTTAAATAAATGTGGAGTAATATCACCTAGATTCGATGTTCCAATTAGGCATATTGAGAAATGGACAAATAACTTGTTACCTTCACGTCAGTTTGGGTAAGGCAAAAAGTTTCCTATGTATTTATTGAGTGAATTTTTTATGTATTGTAACTAGAAAAATATGAAATTAATCGTAAAAGTCTTAATGTAAGGTCAGATAAAATTGAAGAAGTATTGCAGATCTGAAGGTTAACCAACCTATCTGCAACCACCGTGTTACCATAATTGGTTTGATGACACTTTTAAAAGACATGTAGTTTTCTAGTTCGTCTTTACTGCTCTTATGTAGAACAATTTATTAAGTCGGCCATCAATGTGTATAGATAAAAATGGTGTAGCATATATTTTCATGTACTTTGTAATATAATAAATACTTAATGCATTGTGTAATTTCCTTCTCTTAATGAAAAAATTTGTCCACCATGCCCTATTTTTTGAGCTTAATGGCCTGTTATTAATATCTAGTCTTTCCTCTAAGTGCTTGAGTAAATTTTAGTGATGATATTCATTGGCTTGTCTCTGATAAGTTATATATTTCATGTCTTTGTTACACTGTAGACTGGTACTGAACCATTTAGAGCATGAATCGGATGAATGGTTGGTTTATAATTCTAAAATGCTTACCTTGAGTGTTTGTATTGGTTAAATCAGTCTATATTACAGATATAGTTATGACTACTGTTATTATTGTTTTATTTTATTCTATTATGTTACACATTTTAAACTGCAGTATTTTAGTTATACTGCATTTGACCCATATTAATCAGTTGATCATAAAATAAAAAATCTGATGTGTCCAACACATGACTTTCCTATCTAGTTATAGGCGTTTTCTGGTTATTTTGTACAACTTATTGCAGCACATCTATAAATGTTTAGAGGATAAACTAAATATATACATTTTCCACATACATCTACCTCAAAACATTTTTCTATATTCATTGAAAACGAAAATACTGAAAAATTAAAATTTAGCACTTTTCCTGCAATTTTTCCATTACCGGTCCATTTTAGGAAAATCATGTATGAACAAAAATTATAGAAATTGATATCGCAAACAACTTTTAGTTAAACAATTTTCATAAAAATCAGAATTTTGCACATTTTGTCAAATTTCTCGAATACAGTCCACTTCAGGAAATTTTGACATAAGGCAAAAATTATAGATAATATTATTAGAAGTAACTTTTATTTGAACAATTTTCTTCTCCAAACATAAATAACAGATATATTCCATAAAATATAAAAACAGCCTCCCATAAAGTACCCCTCCCCCCAGATGTTCCGACTTTGTCCAAAAATCTAATGTTTCCACGTCAGGCCGAAATAAAACTTAAGTTTAAAATTTAATGTTTTCTTTATCCGTTTTTGACTTTTCTTCAAAATTCGAAATTTACACATTTTCTCAAATATCTCGAATACGGTCCATTTTAGAGAAATTATGTATAGGATAAAAATTATAGTGAATTATATTACAAACAACTTTTATTTGAACAATTTTTATAAAAAATTATTTTTTAAATTTTGTCAAATTTCTCGAATACGGACCATTTTAGGAAAATTTTGTATAGAACAAAAATTATAGATAATAATATTAGAAGTAACTTTTATTTGAAGAATTTTCTTCTCCAAACGTAAATAACACATATATTTCATAAAATATAAAAATGACCACCTATAAAGTACCCGCCCCAGATGTTCCGACTCTGCCCAAAATCTAATCAGTTCATTGAACGCTGGAATAAAGCTTAAGTTTAAAATTTGGTGTTGTTCTGTGTATCGGTTCATGAGTTATGGTGGATATAGACATACACCCACAGACATCATCGCGAAAATAGTCAAAACGGATTCAGGGGACCCCAAAACGTAAAAATCCGTCGAAAACTGGAGGTTAAAAAAAATCATGATTTCTATACTTTCCTTATATCTGTATACAGATAGGAAAGTAAAAATGAGATGGGAATCTGCAAATTTAGATCTTTTTACATAAATTCAATTTAGATTTGTCATACCTACATCTTGAGTTTATATACAAAAGGGTTGGTTTTCTCTCTTGACACTTTTATGGAAGATAAACATGTGCCTTTATGCACCGTAATTACATGCATTTTCTTCACATTTATAATCACAGAAGATGAAAACATGGCCACATCATTTTTTTTTTTTTTTTTTTTTTTTTTACTAATATTCTGCTGTTATAATCTATATCATAATTATTATTAAACTTATATTAACATAGGGGCTTATTCATTTTGAAGTGGCTGGTTTCAATCATTGACATTATTGAGAACACTATTCAGATATTCATTTAGTCTCAAAAATATTAATATATTTTGATATTTTATTTACCTAGTAAGGTATAATTCTTGATTTTTTCTAATGAAACTGTAATGTAAATTATTTTTTTTAAATTTGTACCCTGTGAAATTTGAGAAGTTTGTCAATAAATACAAATTGTCTTGATGCACGCAGGAAGATAAATTTAGGAAACCCGTGCTGACATAACCATGATTTACCACTATAATAATTTTCAGTAACTATTATCTGGTATTTCACATTTATCCTCAGCTCCGTTTTTCCTAAAACAATATTTAAAATTTGCAAAATGTTTAAAAAAATGTATGATTTATTACAATAAACCATTATAATATTTGTTTTTCAGGTATGTTGTACTGACGACCAGTGGAGGTATCATGGACCACGAAGAGGCAAGAAGGAAACATCTTGGAGGAAAAATTCTTGGATTTTTCTTCTAATTATAGTTAATAAAATTTGTTTAAAAAACTATTTTTTCTTTATATTTAAACCCTTTGAAGCCCCTTGGTCATTATTTATCAATTGAACTATTGAAACCTTATTTTAAGTTTTATAATTTACAATTAGTTATTCAATAAAAAGTTAAAATAATGTAAATTTTTATTACTCCAATTAGAACTTTGACATAAATGCGAAACAAATGATACGTATTAAGTGATTATCTAATAATTTAAAATTTTATGCCACAAATAATTCAGGTTCTTATTATTTTGTACCCTGTGATATTTGAGAAATTTTGTCAATAAATACGAATTTTCTTGATGCACACAGGAAGATAAAATTATGAAACCCGTGCTGACATAACCATGATTTGCCACTATAATAATTTTCAGTAACTATTATCTGGTATTTCACATTTATCCTCAGCTCCGTTTTTCCTAAAACAATATTTTAATTCCAGATTACATTATTAAAGAAGAATATAATTAAATGTGTCATTTAAATAATTATTTGTTACCAATATTTAATTAATAAAATGTGTTTCACAAGCAAATAATTTCACTCGTGTGTATGGAAGTGATTACTTTGTGTTATCAGAATTGTCAAATAAGGAAATGTACCTCATTTCTTAATTATCAATAGTAGTATTACAGCCATAGAAAAAGTGTTATAACTAAACCATCTCTTTGTAACCTATTGGTAATTTTTTCTTATGCTCCTTTTACTTTATTTCATGTAAAATTTCAACCTATTGACTTATTGTGGTTTTCTTCATTTTCATATCGCCTTCCTATATTTGGATCAATTTCGGGTTCAGAAAAATGCCTGGGGCTTCTCTGTTTGACAAATTCAATGGAGGTAGGTATTGTCCAAGTGATCCCTCGATATTCAAAACATTTTCCAACATGTTCTCCTTGCAATTTGAATAGATGATGGAGAGCTGTACCAATTCATTTTCCTGCACTATACTGGGTGATAATCAGACTAGGGCCACGTTAATATATCTTTTTAACAGACTTCAAAAAAGAATGAGATTCTCAATTCGTTGGTTACTTTTTTTTAATTTATGTTCAGCGATAATTCTTTAACATGGTGTCCAATTTCAATGATTCTTTTTTTGTTAGAAAGGGGGTACTTTAGGGGTGGTCCCATAATGGTCCCATATTAATTTGGTCAAAATCTAATAATTAGGTCTATTAGAAAATCCTCACTCTTCAATTTTTATGTATATTTAGCGATAATTCTTTACCATCTTGTCCGATTTCTATGATTTTTTTTTGTTAGTAAGGGCCCAGACAACACACCAAATCCCAGAGATATCCACAGAATATCTTTTGTGGATATCCAATATATCCACAGCTCCACAGGATATCAGAATTATCCCGTGGATCTAATATGGATATCCAAATGTCCGTCTATATTCAGAATATAGAAGATAATCAAATGGATATCCAGCAAAATATCTAATGGATATACAATATATGCAGTGGATCTAATATGTATATCTATATCCCAGATCCCAGGATATAGAAGATATTCAGCAAAATATTTTATGGGTATCTTTAATAGAGGTTCATAAAGTAACCAATGATTATTGAATAACGTCGAAAGAAAATAGCAGAGATAAAAAATATTTTCCACACTGTGCATTTGATTTTGCCCACTAAGGAGAAAGTCATCCTTATTAGGACTCTTCAGCAATAAATGGAAATTCTCGACTCCAGTCTCTAATGGAGTTTGATTGGGAAAACAATTTCGATCGAACTCAATTACGGCTGGTTGAGCATGAGTAGATATATAATGGTATCGCCATCTATACTTAGTAAGCAAAATAAAAAATTACATCTAGTGGATATCCACCATGGTTTGCGTTCGCGCCTAGACTTTGCTTAGTGGGTCCATGGGATATTGAATACATCTTAAAAAAATTAATTTTAAATATCTGAACGGTACTATTAGCCACAATGGCGTAGTTTTTTTAATAATTTGCTATATAATTACTATTATTTATGGACATTTGCATGTCTATAAATTACATCTCATGGATATAAAATAGATATACACCATGGACTGGACATTCAGTGGATATTGGGATGTTTAGTAGATATCCAAAGGATTTGGTGTACTGTCTGGGGGGGGGGGGGGGGGGGGGGGAGGTACCTCAGGGGTGGTCCCATATAAATTTGGTCAAAATCTAATAATTGGGTTCATGAGAAAATCCTCAAACTCTTAATTTTTTATGTATATTTAGCGATAATTCTTTACCACCTTGTCTGATTTCAATTACTCTTTTTTTGTTAATAAGGGAGTACCTCAGGTTTGGTCCCACATAAATTTGCGTAAGATGTGGTTATGGCATCTGCACGATTTTAAAGTCTGTTTTTTAAAATTACTTTTAATACTTGTTGAAACAAATTGACCTTGCGACTTTTCAAAGCTTATTAAAACAACTAAAATAACATGAGGACTTTTTTTAGAAAATATTTAAACCGAATACCTATCGTCACCCGTTGTCTTTTATTTACATTTCAAAAAGGTGGTAACCCTAGTTATCACCCAAAAATAGTGCGGCCCGTGTAGCATAACAAACAAATTTATGTGGCCCGAAAGAAAAAAGGTTGAGTATAGCTGTTCTACGTGGTGTATACTGTCAGATTAGCAACAACATTTTCCATGAAAATGCGAGTTGCCCTCAATAGGTGCCATTTTATAAAAAGTGGGATTTTTTATCTGAATGATTTATTTTTAACTCATTTGGTAAAATAGCTTTGAGTTATTCGAGGACTAAAATATCCAGTTCATGGCCTGCTATCTCATTTTTTTTTTATTTGTGAAAAATATAAATTTGCTAAAACTATCATAATATCTATACTTTGAACCGTAGCTTCCAGAAGGACAAAATATACAGCGTGATCCATTTAAAAAACCAAACTTAATGGTATTTCTGGAAAAATAGGAGGTCGGCAATTTTGTTCAAGTACAAGTGACAATTCGAAATTGTAGGTATTTCTTTATAAGCTTACCAGAACATACTTATGTAACCAGAGCGTTTCTTTATAAGGTTTGGTTACGTGTTACCAAAGCATAAGTAGCTACATCTAACGAGGTATTTATTTATAAACTTACTAAAACATACTATAACATGAACAAACAAAATCAAAACATCCTAAGATTTCCAAAATTCAAATTCCTTTTAGAAATCACCAATCTTAAATTAAATTTCACATATGCCATTCAATAATAGGACTACCACAATCACCGAACACCACAATACCCTATACAGCACACATTATTTCAGAAATGTTTCCTAAATATTTTAAACGTTTCAAACATATAACATTTCAAGCACAAGTTTCTGAAATATTTTAGTTAATATTCCATTGCAAATATTATTGAAACATGGTATACATCAAAAATTAAAAAATATTTGTCATGAATATAGATTTACAATAATTAATCGGTAATAGACTGTAAGTCTAGTATTCTTTTTAATAAATAATTTAGCGTAATTATATTGTTTAAATGTATTTACAAAAACATAACAGTGCAGTCGATATTTATACAACCTTTATTATCAGGTTTTTAAATTTACCGCTGCGTTTGATATTGATGAAAGCGCCACATAGTGGGTCAGATGTTATCTGCATTAAAGCTGGTCGTTTTTAAGGCTGGTTTGGTAGGGTAGAGAGAGGATGAACGTCAACCCACACGCCCCCACGTCGGACGGCTTCGAGAATTTCGCAGTAATGTTTACCTGCCAGTCTCGTTTCATAGAATAAGTAATTTTAAAAAATTGTTGCCGACGGAACCGGACAATCGCATGTATTTATATGGACTGTACCCAGTAAACCACAAATAGTCGGCATTCGCTCGGCCGGACACCGGCATGTACAGGAAGCCGAGTACTCGGATTGCAGTTGTCGGGGTTTCTTCTGAGCCGCGAGGACCGTACCATTTGACGTAATTTACAAGTAGAAACTGCATATGGTCCATATTTGGCTTTCCAGACATGGGAGGCATCACGAGCCGAACACGGTGAATATTTGGCTAGCCGGGCATGGAGGTATCCTTACGGGCCGAATTATATATAGATATATGAACGCGTCTACAATTTAGTGGGTTGACGACATTCGGCTGGGCGGACATGCCCTACTTATATGCCGAAGCTGTACCCGTATATCGGGGCGACTCCGTCATCTGGCAAGCCTCCTTCGGCCCAGTTACGGTGCCGATTATCTGTGTTTATTGGGTAAATAATAATTAAACATGTATTATAATATTCAAGTCATAATTTTACAAAATTTCAACAGCTATTCACAATTTAATAAACTATTTACTCGAAATTGTTATTAACATCTATAAAATAATTTTGTACGCCAATGTATCGCGTCCACTTCGGTGAGATTCGCCGCAAACCTGTCAATTTATGTTTATAAAGTAGGAGAACTGGCAAAAGCCTTTCCAACTTCTACTTGTGCTATATTCATGCCACTGTATATCAAAAATAGCTAGATTTATCGAATTAGTTTATAGAACAAAATCTGCTTAAAACAGCATTTTTTACAAGATGCGCTATATAAGAAAGATTCTCTCATCGAATAAAAAATATTGTGCGCAGCGCCATCTACATATTAGCATATTTAAAATTAATTTATATCTAAAACTGAAGCTCTCTTAGCGCTCTATGAATGAAAATTATAATATCTCTATTACCAAAATATGCAGCCTGGGAGTTTTTATTGGTACACCCTGTATATTTATTTTAAAACCAAAAAAGGTTTATTTTTCTTTTCCCAACTAGTGACATAATTCATTTTTCTTAACGTTATGCAACTGGTTACGTAAAGTATATCATTTTGACACGTGCAGCGATTACAAAAAATGTCACTTTATATGTCAAAATTAGAAAAGATTAGTTTATGTTATAGGGACGAAAAGTTGAGTTTGCATTTTGTATGACTCCGAAAATACACTTTTCGTCCTTGTTTCATACATTAATTTTTATTCGATTGTGCTTATAGATATTAAAAAACATAGAAAATTAAATTTGAAATTATATTATTTACAAGATTCTTATAACTAAGATGG